TTTTCTTGTTTAAAACATTCCTTAACCACTCTTATACATTAAGTCAAGTAATATATTTGTTTGACTTAACTGGTGACGACACATTTTATTCTTATTATATTTAGTATTTAGTTAAGCCAAGCAAGCATATTACAACATGATGACCTTGCCTAAATTAGATTGGCTATTAATTATTAGCATTAGCTAAATATTATACAAAAAACTATTATGATCCTGAAAAATAAAATAATTATTTTATCCTTTTTATTCGGATAATAAAATTGATCTCTGAGAAATATTTCTAAACAAGGTCATTGTTTTATATGTTATGTTTTTAGGTCAAATTTGAATAGAAATGCTTTCATTGAAACTTAAAATAAACTTTAGCTAAATTTATAATTTTATGTAGATCATAAATAACCCAATAAAAGGAAACCAAAATACTATACATAATTAAAATTTAAGCATTTTTATGATGATTCTTGAGATTATTTCCATTGTCTGATTTAAAAAGTGGATTACTAATAATTGGGTGGCATTTCTAGAATTGTTTGCAACTATTGACCAATATATATATTTTCAAAATTTTGATAGCATTCAGATACTTTAGTAATCTTGTTTCAGTGTAAAAAAAAAAATTTAAATATATTGTAATTAAGGAGCTTATTAAAAATCACGAAGAAGTTTGTAAACTTAAATCCAGGACTTTCATCTTATAACTGCGTAAGAACTAAGGTTTTACTGCTTCTTGGATTTAGTTAAATCAAAAAAAACACAAAAGAATTTTACATATCACCAGTAAGTTATAGCAAAGTAAACTTTATAATTTCAATTATGGAAAACATTGGTGTTTATGAAATAAACAGTTTTATGATAAAGTGCCTGAAATTGCAAAAAAGTTCCATAATAATTTGTTTCGAGATTATACAAATATTGTCCTAAAAGTATATTAAAATTTATCTCAAAATGATATTTATACTATGCACCTTACAATTATTCACTTTATTATTATATTTAATTTAAAAAAATTATCAATTAATCAATCAATTATTGATCAAAAGACATGTTAAATTTGGTATAGCAATAGTATAGATTATACTAGGCAGCCCCAAAGTTTGAGGTATCCATCGCAACAGTATTTAATTGCCCTAATTCTTCATTTCGAATTTAAGTGAAGGTTTGGGGCATATTATAATTGAGATCTTTACTAGCAGAATGATCTTTTGGGATTATTGTGTTAGCAAAGATTCCAAATCCAAAATGCTGTCCTGGGTAATCGTCTGTATACATTATGATTAAATAGATATATTCTATACAAACTTTCTTTTACTATAAAAAAAATTTTTTCAACAACTATAACTGACAGATCATTTTATTATTATCTATCTCAAGACTGCCCTCTAGTAGGAATGTTGACTGATCAACAACAAACCTCTTCACAACAATTTTATACTCATTATTGGCATTTGTCGCCTATTGAAACTCTTGCTTTGGGCTCTGGTAATAATAATGGTATAGGTTTATATAATCTCATCATGTATAATGCCAATCAATACTCCCAAACTTCGACAATGGCTGGATCAAATTCAACCCAAGTTATCAATATATCTTTAAACGTATTATTGAGAGTTGCCACATCAGTGGATACTTTTGTTAAAGAAAACCTTCAGCTACAACTACGATCATATCACTAATAAAAATCCTCAAGATCTTGTATCTGGAAAATCATCATATATTTATGCAACTTTGATTAATTATGCAATTGCAAATTTTCCTAATAAAAAACTCACATTAAATGAAATTTACAATTGGATTATGGAGAATTATTCTTATTATAAGACTACTAGTGCTAGCTGGAAAGTATGCATTTTTATTAAGATTAATGTAACTTTATATGCTATTCTATTTGTTATGAATACTATGTAATAAATAAAATTTTTAAAATTTTATAGAATTCAATTAGACATAATTTGTCTTTAAATAAAAGATTTGTCTGTGTTCCACATCAAGATTCATATAAAGGGTCATATTGGACTTTAAACTTCAGTGCTATTAAATGAACTATGTCGTAACAAAAGATCTTTGAGTGTTGATCGCAGTATGCTGAGCATGCTATACCAACCAGTGTATTCTATAGAACAATATTACCTTCCAGCACAAGGGCTTGGAAGTAATGCAAGCATCTCACAACAAACAATATCTTATACCAGTGCTAGCATTAGTAATATTGCCGATTATGATACTAATAACCATGTTCATGTGGATGGGAATAATGCTACCACTTTTAGCAGATATAGTATGTATCAAATTTATTATTCACAATTAGTTAAACAATTGAGGATTAAATAATTATGAAGAATTTATAACTAATAATTATGAAAAATTTATAACTTTTAATAAACTAAAAATGATTATTTTTTCTTTTATTCAGTTATAAACTGTGTATACTTTGTATAGTTGACAAAGTGTTTCTAACACATTTATTATATTTATTAAATTATATAGTGATTAAAATTAAAAAAATTAATGGGGACCATCAGGACCCCAAACAATCTATAGACAGGTAAGATTTTAATTTGCTTATTTCAGACTACTTTTTCTGCAGATCTTTCTATTTTAAGTAATTAGTTTGCTTATTTCAGGCTTTTTTTCTGCAGATCCTTCTATTTTTAGTAATTTTTGCAAATTGTTAGCTGTTTGTAGATTGTTCGGAGTCCTGGACCATCAATATGAGAAAATAGGCTTATATTCTGTTTAAGTCATTAACTAACTCCACACTTTTTTATCATATTCTGTAAAATTTCTATCAACTTCTATAATCGGAGAGGTAATTTTCGGGGATGTACATGATTTTTTTCGTGTATCTAAGTTTTTTGGAAAAGGACATGCCCAAGGTATGTCCTGGGATGCAAGTGATGATTTTAGTACTTTAAAATGATATTTAAATTTCTTATGCTTTGGTTTATAACTATAATGAGAATACGCCATATTATGAACTTGCTTTGCACAATCAGCTAATAATTCGTAAAATTGCTTAACCTCATTACTTTCTTTTGACCAATTTTTGGCTGCTTCTTTTGAAATAAATTTAAAATTGTTTGTTGCATCATTTGTTTTATTACTTGCAAGATTGTTTGTCGCATCATTTGTTTTATTAATTACTGCACTTAAGTTTCTTCTGTATAATACAAAACTATTTTGAGGTCTTGGAATTTGGTGTCCTCTTCGATTTTTGCTTGGTGCAATAAGCTGATGAAGAGGTAAGACAACTGTTTGATTGATTTTTTCTAATGTTTGTCGATCGATGATGTTTCTAATAACATAATTTATTGTTTCTTGGCTTATGATTCCTTTGAAAGGAATAGATTTTGGGCGATTGAGGCTTTCTTCGAATTTTTTTATTTGAATCTTGTTTTCTAATATAATTAAATTTTATTATAAAAAAAAATTATTTTTCTAGTTTTTTAATGTAAAATTTTTTTAAGATTTTTTTTTTCATGCGAAAGAACTTTAATGATATAATTAATAAGGTAGCTGCGCGACGATGTCACGCGACACCAGGAATGTAAATTTATTCATGAGCCAGAGATTTCATTCAATATTGCAGCTTTTGCAGACTGGTTCTAATAATTGCAAATCATGTTCCACATGTGACGCAATTGTGAAGCGCATTTCTTAACAAATAATATAGTATTTTTTATAATTTTTCGCATGCCA